GGAGGATGAGAGGTGAGGAAGCCGCTTTTGGGGTGATTTGTGATGGGTTGGGGGATGAGCAAGAAAGAGTTGCATTTTGAAGAGAGAGAGAGAGAGAGAGAAAAGAGGTGGTATTGGGGTTATGGCGAGTGATAAGGGGACTGCGAGGTCGATTCAGCGATTGGAAGTACAAGGTGGCGGTTCCTATGCCTCTACGATCCCTGCAGGGTTCTTGTAATCTCTCTCTCTCTACTCTTTCTCTCTCTAACTTGATGCGATTCACTGCTTCTCTTCTCTCTCTTCTGTAACACTCATGGAATAACCATCTCTCACACACGTATCAACCAATGACCCATTTTGAGAGTGAGATAGGATCCGGATTCTCACCTTTTTTTTCTTTTCTTTAATCTTTTTTTGGTTGTGTTTTTATCAGAGCCAAAGAGAGCAACAGCAGCAGTGGAGCTTACGATTTGGGAGAATTGGACCAGGCTCTATTTTTGTATCTCGAGGGCCACAATACACATCCTTCGGTTGCAGACCAAAGACGTATATGCTTTCTCTCTCTCTACCCGAAACCCCATTTTCTTACAAAATCCATGAAAAGCTTTTTCACTAAATGCCTTATTTTGTCTCTCTACCCCCCTACCCTCTCAGCTAAATTTTGAGCCAGGAATTTAACTAGAAAAGGATCCTGGTTGGTTATTTTGTGGGGCGCATGGTGATGATTATGGAGCAGAGTCTCAGGGCATCCATGATAGTACACCTTTGACTGAGTATCCCAAATGTGACATGTAACAGACTACCAATCAATATTTTTCGAGCTTCATGTGCCAAAACGTGCTGTTGCCTTAATAAGAACCCGACCCCTTTGTTTCTCTCTCTAAAATGGGTATTGAGGTGCTATACCCTTGTTTCTCTCTCTACTGCAAGGGGTTAAAAATGCATGAGCGAGAAAGGCATTTCTCTATCTTGGCTGGCGAGGATCATACCTTTCATGCCTTGCCTGCCCAAGTGATTCTCATCATTATTATGTTTCTTATCAGAAGACCGGGTTTTTCCTTGTGATTTCCTGTGGGGTTGCACCCTAAGAGGACTTAGTTCCCTACTTATAAATTCATCCTCATCTTTTGTTGCAGATTGTACAGAAATTCGCCCACCCACTCTCAACATATTCCCCTCACAACCCATGCATGTTGATCCATTGCTAAAGGTACTTTCTTTAGAGAGAGAGAGAGAGAGAGAGTGGGTACTGGGTTTATGAGATGTGCAAGTGAGAGAGAGGGGAAGGTACAGGGTTTATGAGATGTGCTAGAGAGAGTGGGGCAAGGGAATGGGCTTACAAGTGTTGTAAGAGAGAGATATTGGGCTGATGAGATGGTGTGAGAGAGAGAGAGAGAGAGGAGTGTTATGGGCTCATGACATGTGAATAATCAGTTGAAGAGAGAGAGAGGTGCCTATGTTATTAATGACATGTTAGAATCAGTTAAAGAGAGAGAAAGAGGTGCTCTTTGTTATTAATGGCATTTAGAATCAGTTGAAGAGAGAGAAAGAGGTGCCTATGTTATTAATGACATTAATGGAGTGTTGTATTTCTTATTTTGGGTGTTATTTCAAACTTTATGCTGTGATTATTGGATTGATTGCAGGGAGTAGGATTGGGATCTTCATCAGGAGATAGAAATAACAATACCAATAATAGTAATAATAGTAGCAGTAGTAATATACAATTGGGGTTTGATTCTCCAACGAGTAGCAGCGGAGTAAGCAACAAGAGATCATCATCAGAGCAGCAGCATCAGCAGCAATCAACGATGATGATGGAGTTGGCAAATCCGAGGACTGATCTGACATCAAAACCCCCTGAACCAGATAAAGTTTCAAAGGTGCTTTTTCTTTCAAAATCGAATCCCCAAAATTTCTACTTTTTTGTCATTGCAGAGGGGCTAGCGCTTGAGGAGTATGGAGTTTTACGAGATGGGAAGAGAGAGAATGTGCGTTTTTTATAGAGAGATGGTATTCAGAGAGAACATTCATTCATTTGTGTTTCAGAGAGAATCGATTCGAAAGGGAGCAGCATCCAGTTCAGAGCATGAAGGACCAAAAACACCAGACCCTAAGGTTTATACAGCAACTTTTCTCTCTCTAAAAACTGATAAAATCACGAGTTCAATAACTTAAGGATTGGGTTTCTATAAGTTTTCAACCTCAAACAATCCAATTAAAGTTGGTAAAACAATTTTTAGGATTATCTCAAAATCTATTTTCATATCAAATTATAAAATTTTAAATTCTAAAAATGGTTAAAATCAAGTAGATATATAAATATATGAAAATCGGGAGATTTGACGGTGAGATACACCATTTCTGACTCAAAATCTTTTTTTTTTTTCATTTTCATACATCCAGATGATCAATTGGAGATTTTTTCAACATTAAAAAAACTTTTTTCCGATAGATTTTTTAGGTGGATCAGTAATTCTACATTTTAAGGTTGTGACCTTGTATAAACTAAAACTTTTTCCTTAACGTAATGATTACTCTTTCTAGGCGATCAGATTCCTTATTTTTCCACATTCATTTCACCAGAAGATTCCTTATTTTTCTACATTCATTTTTATTTTCAATATTACAAAGTCTTAATTTTTAGGAGACTGTTTCAACATTCAAGTCTGAGCTATAATTTATCCTCTCTTTCGTGTTTGTGCTTCTTCCGCAGACATTGAGAAGACTCGCACAAAATCGTGAAGCAGCACGAAAAAGTAGACTCAGGAAGAAGGTCAAAACTGATAACCATGACAAGTTTCCCCTTTTTTCAGTCAGTTTTGAAATAGCAAGGAAAAGCAAACTCGGCCTCTCTCTCTCTCTCTCTTGAAATCTCATCAGAAACCATAATGGTTTCCTCCCATTTCAGTCGGTCGTCAAACTTGTCTTCTTTCTCTATCTAAAACTTTTCGGTTTTGAACGACAACTCAAGAAACTCTCCCTCACTCTCTAAAATTAGGAATTTTTTTGGGATGAGACAGGCGTACGTTCAGCAGCTGGAGTCGAGTAGGATGAAGCTAAACCAGCTCGAGCACGAGTTGCAAAGAGCAAGAGCACAGGTTAAAAGCTCATAACATGTGATTCTCATACTGCAGAAATGGAAATCATTTACCATGGATTTAGTGCAACTTAAATATCACACAATTTTGTCTTCAGATCATATTTCTTTAAAAAGTTGTTCAGTTTCATTCATTTGTTGAATTGTCAGGGTATGTTCTTTGGTGGAAGCGGCATGCTAGGTGACCAATCCCTTCCATGCGGTAGTGGCAATTTGAGCACAGGTACTTCCCCATTTTCACATACATAAAAATGTGAGAGAGAGAGAGAGAGAGAGAGAGAGAGAGAGAGAGAGAGAGAGAGAGAGAGAGAGAGAGAGAGAGAGAGAGAGAGAGAGAGAGAGAGAGAGAGTAGAGTAGTAGTAGTAGTAGAGTAGTAGTAGTAGTAGTAGTAGTAGTAGTAGTAGTAGTAGTGTAGTAGTAGTAGTAGTAGTAGTAGTAGTGTAGTACGTAGTGTAGAGTAGTACGAG